ATGTGTGTGCGCGTGTGTGTATGAGTTTGTGTGTGTGTGGTGCACCAAAATAATTTACTTAACCACAGATCAGCAGTTTGATACTGCCGAGCTTGTTTGATACAGATACTAATGTAGCAGAGACTATTAATAATAAAACATAAAAAAAACTTGCTGTGGTTATGATTAAAAGAAATCATTTCTAAGACAGTTTTGCTGAAAATTTCTGTTGCTGGAGCTTTGTTGTCATCTCGGGAGGCTTTGAAGAGAAAAGGGATTAGATGAATAGAGAGATTAAAGGCCAAGCTAGGCTAAAATTATCCTCAGATCATTAGTCTTATTTTTGCATATGTAAACCTGACATCATTCAGAAGCACCAGATCCGGGAACTCTGCAGACATGGCTGCATAATTAGTCATGCATAAAGCATTTGCAACACTGTTTAGCATTACAAAATATCTACTGATTCCCTAAAAGATGCCTCAAACAGATGGCTTTGAACACAGAGTGCGCATGAAAATACACTGAAAACTGCAAAGTCAAAAAATATCTTAAAATGCTAATTATTTCCATGTGTGATGACCTATAGGACCTACATAAGTATGAGCATGGGCTGTGTTTGATCTATAAGATCAGCTCATATCAGCTGAGGTGCAAATGCTGTGTCTGAAATTTTAATTTCAAATTTGAAAGTCCTCACACTTCATGCAAAGGCTAAAAATTGCTGAACTGTTAATTCAAGTGGAAGAGACTACCATGGCTGAACTGTTTTTGGGAGCAGTTTAAGCTGTGGAAACATTAGCTGAGCTGAGCTTGAAGTCTCTGTCCTTGATAACTTTCAACATGCACTAGTTATATGCAGACCTTCATAACATACTATGATTGTACCATTAGGCCTGCACATACACATTAAACTATATCATTTTACCCTGCAACCACTAAATAAAATTTGTGTTGAGTAACACTATCACTGACTTTAAACCCCCCAAAACAAAACAGTTGTGAACTTTTAAGTCAGACCATGCTGCCAAAAGTCACACTGTGGTCTTGGCACATACCTATACATACACACATGCACAGAGCAGCTACAGTAGCGTGTGCAATGGAAAAAAGTTTGAACAGTTTTGCATTTGTGGTGTAAATTTGTCAGAAGCACCCAACAGAGGCATTAATCACAGCAGGTCGACAATCTGTGAATCATTATCCACACGCTGTAGAGATGAATACCTCTTGACTCGACCCTTTCAATATCCTGCAAAGCTCTCCATATATTTGTTCAGTTTATGTAACGCTGCGATAATCTATATGTCATTAGAGCACTCTGCGGTGGAGGAGTTAATGATCCACAGTGACATTCTTGATATGGCATAAAGCTGCTGCATGTACATATGGCAGCTATTTTCTTGATGTACACTGAGTAGAAACGTTTGAGGGTTTTACTCTCTCTATATATTTTTTCTCTTTTGTAAAGTTTTGGAATGACGGACACATCAGCTCAGCGGCCCTGAGGGGAGCAGTACCAGCCAATCAATGGCTCACCATAACCCAGATCATTGTGTCCTCTTTGCCCTCTGACCTTACGTATCATCCACTGACAGCTCCTGCTCCTTCCTCCACAGCTCCTAGGGGCTATTTTAACCCTCCTCTGAAGACACAGTGATGCTTCTGGAGGCTTTGAGTTTAGGATCATGTAGCGGAGCAATGGACACCAACTCACACGCATGCACCTCCGCTCTTTGTTTGATACGTTTCCTCTATCTAACCACTAGATACTGACCACAAGATATATCCAGCCCAAGGTGAAGCCTGCTGATGCAAAACTGGCCATGTTCCTCTTACAGGATGTATGACTCCTCACACATGACACATTCCCACAGGAAATAGGTTAGTGGTTTCTCTTGAACAACACAGAACTGTTACATTGAAATAAATATACAGCTGTGCAACCCATTGTATGAATAGTAAAGGGGGAAAATGTGCATTTCTGAGATCGTGGAAGGATTTGTTTATGCCATTATTTCATGTTTTCTTTTATATTTGTCTTTCATTCTGTAAAGAGAGCTTTTGCAGGAAAGGTATGCTGGCAGCTCAGGCACAGGCTTTGAAATCCAACACTGTCTGCCTCCAGCAGCCCCGGGGAGCCCATGAAGGTGAGGTAATGGGAAGAATGGTTTAGGAGCTATCTGCGGTGGGCAGCAGGGTGGAATAATGGTTAGGAGCCCGGATCAAACAGCGTAATTTCCACTGGCTTTGGATCCTTTCTGACATTAACTGCCCACCTGTCAGGATCCGCAGACTTTTGCCATACTTATTAGCACAGTGAGGTGTGGACTGACTCAGGATTTTTTTTTTACCACTATGTGGTGTGGGGACAGTGGACTTGGATTACCCATTGTGACTTGGATTACTGCTGGGTTTAAGGCATTATACACAGACACGATAGCTTTTTGGTATTATCCATCCTGTCACAATACAAGGCTGTGGAGATGGATAGAACAGTAGCAGTAGTAGTAAAGTAGTTTCAGTAGTTAGTGTGTGTGGATTTTTACACAAATCTCTAATCAGTCTAATGATAATCCCCATGCAGCTGAGTTATAGCACCTAAGGCTCCTCACTCGTGGCAGAAGTAGAAACTAATTTTAAAGAAGTCCACTTCTGCTATCTGTGCACAGAGCCTTTCAGGTTTATTTGGGTAAACAACCGACTGAGTGAACTGCATGGCACAGATATTTGTGGAGCCTGTTTGGCCGTTGCTATGTGAATATTTGGCTTGTTAATGAGCACGCTGCCAGAAGGCTTTCTGCAAGGTGAATTAAAGCTCAGATAGCTTTCTGGGAATATATCTGAAATTGCAAAGTCTGGTTGTAATACTCTGGGGGGGCCAGGTGAAACCTAGTGGCAAAAAAACCCAGTGAAAAATATTAAAGCTCACATACCCAGGCTACACTGACAAATGACCTTGATTTAAGGGGAGTATTTCTAAGTACTTACCATGTGCAGGCTTTGGCACAGAGAAATCTGACATCACAGATGTTAAGAAGCTTTAGCCTCACATCTTACAATAAATCATAGTCATCTTGGGAAATAAATAGTGAATTTGAGATCTGTTTTTTGTTTTCTTTTTTTGGGAGAAAGTTGGACTTGTTGTTTATCTCCCACATGGTCTTTGAACAATATGTTAGATTCTTATCAGTAGTTCTTGGCCTTTTGGCCAAGGGCTTCTCGGACAATACATCATACACCCCCGCCTCTACAGCTGTCAATGTGCCTCCTGGGCTGGTGCCACATAGTGCAATAAGTGGGGAGAAATTTCCTCATCTAAGCCCCCAGCTCCCCCACTCTCACTCACACAGCCCCAACCCTTCCCTCCAACCAGAAAGCTCCCTTTTGTCCTGGATTGTTTGTAAGCTCTTTGCATTTCTGTGCCCTCCATGTGCTGGATAAAGGGTGGAGGGTGTCACACAGACATCTGTCACAGAGATATGGTGAGAATGCATCTCTGCGATATGGATTATGGATTAGTTCACTTCATATTCATTCAAATTGTTCTACAGGGTGGGCCATTTATATGGATACACGGTAATAACATGGGAATGGTTGGTGATATTAAAGTCACATTTGTGGCACATTAGTATATGTGAGGGGGCAAACTCCTCAAGATGGGTGGTGACCATGGTGGCCATTTAGAAGTCGGCCATCTTGGATACAACTTTTGTTTTTTCAATAGGAAGAGGGCCATGTGACACATCAAACTTATTGGTAATGTCACAAGAAAAACAATGGTGTGCTTGGTTTCAACGTAACTTTATTCTTTCATGAGTTATTTACAAGTTTCTTCATTGCAGCAGATTTCAATGCAAGACACCCTACGAGACCACCCATCTCCCATGCTAAAGTTAGCAAACTGCTTGCTAAGTTTCGTGAAACTGGTTCAGTGTTGGATTTGCCAAAATGTGGACGCAAGAAAACTGTCACTAATGAAGAAACATCAGTGGCTGTCCTAGCTTCATTCAGCAAGAGCCCACAGCGTAGCACTCGCCGCATGACACTGGAGAGTAGCATCAGTCGAACATCCCTTCGGCGGATATTAGCTATTCACAAATGGCACCCTTACAAACTTCAGCTACTGCAGCATCTCACCGCGGACGACCCAGATCGGCGCACAGAATTTGCAGAATGGACAAAACAAAAATTGGAACAGGACCCTCAGGTCACGCAGAAAATTTTGTTCAGTGATGAGGCAAACTTTTATGTGAATGGTGAAGTTAACAAACAAAACCACAGCTATTGGTCTGACACTAACCCACATTCGATGGATCCCTCCAAGACTGTTGGAACAACAAAAGTGATGGTTTGGTGTGGTATGTGGGGTACAAGGATAGTGGGTTCATTCTTCATCAGTGGAAACCTCAAGGCCACTGGATATTTGAAATTGCTACATGATGATGTGTTTCCCTCTTTATGCACTGAAGCTGGCACGTTCCCTGAGTTTTTCCAGCAAGATGGTGCACCGCCACATTATGGGTGCCAGGTCCGAGCATTCCTAGATGAACAGTTTCCTGGAAAGTGGATTGGTCGTCGTGGGACAGTTGAATGGCCCCCAAGATCTCCCGATCTGACCCCCTTAGACTCTTATCTTTGGGGTCATCTGAAGGCAATTGTCTATGGTGTGAAGATACGAGATGTGCAGCACCTGAAACTACGGATACTGGATGCCGTGCTGGCATTTCTCCTGCGGTGTTGCTATCAGTGTGTGAAGAGTTGGAGAAGAGGGTTGCATTGACAATCCAACACAATGGGCAGCACATTGAACACATTTTATAAGTGGTCAGAAACTTGTAAATAACTCATGAAAGAATAAAGTTACGTTGAAACCAAGCACGCCATTGTTTTTCTTGTGACATTACCAATAAGTTTAATGTGTCACATGACCCTCTTCCTATTGAAAAAACAAAAGTTGTATCCAAGATGGCCGACTTCTAAATGACCACCCATCTTGAGGAGTTTGCCCCCTCACATATACTAATGTGCCACAAACAGGACTTTAATATCACCAACCATTCCCATGTTATTACCGTGTATCCATATAAATGGCCCACCCTGTATATTGCCTTTGATGGAACAATCCTCACAGTACACATTAATACAGTACCTTCAAGCCCCCTGGCAATATGTCTATTGTTCCAGTTGCACAGTGGTTGTATATGAACAAAATCATGGTGTTTACAGAAAACCACAATAACCATATATCATAACATTACCATAAGACTGGGAACAAAACATAGTTGGTTTGTGTGTGTGTATTTTGACACATTTTTACCCTTATACATAGTCATACATTGGAGTTACATTCACACAGAACATATTGATCCTGTTATTGGGTGATTTGCGTTCTTTATTGTCGAGTACTTTCAGCTCTTTCAACCATTCCATCATTATTTTAAACCACCAACCTTACCAAACTATTTTACCATTTATTCGCTGCTTTAACCGAGTTATCACTACTGTGCCTTGCATTCACTTCATTGTTTGCACTGCTTATCCATTTTTAGCTCTGTATTCATGCTCTTGTGCTCTCAGCACATGGTGTTCAGGTGTTACAGCTGAGCTTTGTTAAAGTAACCCACAGTCTTTCTGTGCTTTCCCTGCCAGCAAGTGCCACCGGCTGGGAATCACTTCTGTCAATGATATGCCCACAACATGACAGTTTGGACAGCATGGTTGCTAATTACATCATAACGCATCGAATGCATCCACACACACCCTTGATTTGGTACAACTGGCAAGGCCTTGGCTACTGTTACATAATCCATCTGCTGTCTTGCTGCAGGGTGCTGACAATCACCTTCCAGTCAGGAGAGCCGCCTCCCTCGGCGCTACGCTATGCTTTGCCTTGCCCTGCCCTGAACCGCACCGTCCACTCTGCAGCAGCTACAGCAACATCATGTTGCCATGTTTGCTGAAAGATGCGACCAGTGAAATGTTGACTTTGAAGCAGTTTCAGCGACTGCTGCTGGTGCCAGCGGATCCAGCCGTACGTCAGCGGAGCCCACAAAACAGATGCTGGCGCAGCAGCGTGTCTGACGCACATCACAGCTGGCAGCTCTTTCTGCAGCCAGCCTGACAGGTTACATCAGTTATACAAGCGTTGTTTTTATTTATTTATTTTTTAAAGGGGGGGGAAAAAAGTATTTTCACTTTGAAACGACCCAAAGATGCTTTGGTTTTGAGACAAACAGCTTTGCCAGAGGGTTTCTATTAAAAACCTTTATGCGACTGCCAGACTGTGGAGCTCACGCAGAGAGAGGGAGAGATTCCACTTGCAGCGAGCTGATGCAAACAATCAGCAAACTCGGGAACTTTGAATGTACTTGAGCTACTTCACCTCACTCATAGCCACTGGCACAGCTCACCAAATTCTTTTAATATCTGTTTACTTGTAATCAAAATATGCATTTTACCTTTGCAAGCCTTCATAAACCACTTTGAAGCTTTTTTGTGAAAGCACGCCAACATCTCAAAAACCTTAAATCCACTGATGCTGTTTATCCTTCACTTTAATCTGACTACGCACTGATATTGATGAATATCGCATGACCGAGTGTGGAATCCACGCAAAGTGCAACATATTTATTTGCGCCGGAGAACACGAAAACACTTGCCAGTAAAGAAAATGAACAATAAATACCCGAGAAAAACAAACTGTTTATTTTTAAATCATTTTCTGTTCACATTAGACGATGAATAAACCATGAAAGGATGGGCTGCATCGTTAAATATTGATCGACTTTCAATGAGAACAGCCTCAGGTTGATGAGACAAACGGAGGCTCGCATAGCAAAGAGCTAAATGAGTCAACAGGGGCACGGCTTCGTTCGCCCCTTTATTAAAAACGGCAGCACCACCTGACTTTGTGGGGGAAATAAAATGATATTTTATACTAACAGAAGAAAAATGCCTTCTGATGTCTCTATAAATCAGTTAAACAATAAAGACCTGTTTTTGAGGCTTTGACATATTCACCCAGAAACTGAACTATTTCCCCGCTGTCTTCCATCACTCAATCAATTATTCAGCATGCACACCAGTCTGAGGCTGTATGAGAAAGGGGGGAAAAAAATTAATTGTTAACATAAATAAATGCATGCGACACACCAACTCCCCCAGCAGCCAGGGATGCCTCTAAGCTCAGGTCGCAACCCCAGTTGCAAAGCGCGGGTAGATCCTTTTAATCGTCTCTGGCTGTTTGAACTGTTCCAGCGCTGACACTTAGAAAACTTGTAGTCAGCAAAGAGCCACACGCGAGCTGCAGGGTTTTTTCCTTTTTAGTGGCTCCATACGAAGCTCAATATTAGGCTTTTGACTTTAAACATTCCTGCAGTGTCTCTAAGATGTCTTGTAGAATAGCATTTCTGTTCTCCTTAGACACCTAAATGGGAAAAAGAAACAAGTAAACAAAGAATTTAGAAAGTGTTTGTAGCCTGTGTGAGCAGAATATACAGCCATGCATTAAATACAAAGATTAATATGAAATAAATATAGAATATAATGTCCAATGCCTAATCTGACTTGCTGTAATACAAGTAAAATTACCAATGGTATGTCTTTAAGTTCATTCTGCCTCATGTAATAACTCCCCCAGCCTGAGAGGGAGTACAGTGAGTAGTTTGCATGACAAAATCCATAACTGAGTCTTCCGTGATGAATTATTTTGACATTTGAGCCCTCCCTTTGTTGTTAAATCAGTCACGCATGATTTAGAGTTAATCCTGCCGTAGAGGAGGGATAATGCAGGGCATGGCCCCTGTATGTTAGTGAACAGACTGCTTCCTAAGGCCAAGTGGATGCAGTCTAAGCAGAATCCTATAGCTATCAAAATCTGTTTTAAAATAGCAGGGGAAGCATACTAGGATTATTTACTCACAGTGAACACCTTGACGTCCCTCCTGTTCCGCACCTCTTCGACCAGCCCCAGGGGTTTACCTTTAGGGATGGGGATGGTGCCCAGGATGGTGCAGGAAGAGCTATCTAAGGTCTGTCTCACTGCCCTGATGAAAGACTGGCTGAAGAGCTCCATTTTCCCAATCTCATCGATGACAAACACCTTCCTGCTGCTGCTGCTTCCATCCGCCGAACCAATCTGGAGATGAACGATGCAGACATTACATGGAGTAGTGGGGCTCAAGCTAACGATTACTTTGTCATCAATTGATCTTTAATTATAATGTCAGCAAATCCTTTGGTCTGTAAAACACCAGAAAAAAGAAAAGAGAAATTTCCTAGTTGCTTAAAATCAAGCACAATCCATCGGAGGAGATATCTATTCATTTAAGCACTAAAGACTATTTTGGATGCTTAGTTTGGTTAGTTAAGGGAAACATCTTTTACAGGCAGACGCTCGTCGTTTTAATATTTCACGTATGACTGACACCGAAAGCGTTTTGTGTGATGCTACACTGCAGATCTGCTGTGATTACAGAGAGAGTGAGATGAAAGTGAACCACGCGCTGCCGAGGCACAGACATCTTTCTTTACAGCGCATGTGTAGGCGTCACTCCAGGTTCACTTTACATGCCGGATTAATCACGGTCAGTGACAGCCAGACGGCACCACGAACACTAAAAATGTCACTGTGGAATTTACGTGTTTGCAAGCTTCCAATTATTCCATCAGTTTTCAGAAAAAAAAATCAAAGTGGAGGGGAGAAGGGAGTCTTTCGCTTGCTGTGATCTACTGATGAGGGTGGCTTTAAAAAAAGCCCATGTGCTGCTTACTTACATTTCTGAAGAGGGGGAGAGCCAGATTTTCAAATGAAGGCAAGTCGACCACATACTGGCCAACTGTGTACTCCCGCCTGCCGTGAGGCTGGCTGTCTCTACTGTCTCTGCAAGTTAAAAAAGACGTGAGTCAAAACAAAGTGAGAAAAAGAGAGCAGGCAGTTTGAGTGAGACTGCATGACAACACCACTACCTGATTCTGGACAGGTGGCCCCTCGCTCCTGTCAGGGTGACCACATCAAAGCCGACTCTCCGGCCCCCTTCCCTGACCTCCTCCGTGTAAAAGCCTTCAGCTCCCACTCCTGATGACACTAAAGCCTCGCAGGCTTTCTGGACCAGGGTGGTTTTCCCCACACCTGAAGGCAAAACAGACAAACTGTCAAACAACTGAAATATCACCGTTTCAAGCGGAGGGATCCTGCCTTAAGTATTACTATGGTAAAACAATGTATTTAATCCTTACAGCTCTCAGACGATTAGGTAGCATAATATATTTATGTAAATCATCAAAAATATGGCGTCACTCCATCGTTATAATAATACTAAGAATAATAAACACAAACTAAACTAAACAAAAAAGGCTGAAACGTTAATTGGGTTTGTTACCCGAATAAGAGTAACTGGAATAAGCTAACCTTCATTCAAATCAACGTTAAGACTGACTTTTTCTTCGCTGGGACTTAAAACAGCTGACTGACCGCTTTAGATTTACAGCGACTTTAGCTTCAGCAGCGCTGGGTGCACTCACTGCTGACTGTTACCTGGAGGTCCTGTCAGAAATACGTGCTTGAACATTGTGGTTTCCACCGTCCAACGTGTTCCTGCAGCTTTTCCGGACACAGAGTTGACGCATGCGCAGTAAGAGGTAAAACTTGGGACGGCACATTTAACGATTTTTTAAATGATTTTTTAAAAACCAAATCACCTATAAAAGACAAGTTAAATGGGTACATTTATAAAAGAAAATGTTTGCCATAAACAACTTATTTTTCTTTAAAAAATAAAACTTAGGTTTTATACAACTTTAATATAGAGTTTAACAATTTAAATGGTAAATGGCCTGTATTTATATAGCGCTTTACTAGTCCCTAAGGACCCCAAAGCGCTTTACATATCCAGTCATCCACCCATTCACGCACACATTCACACACTGGTGATGGCAAGCTACATTGTAGCCACAGCCACCCTGGGGCGCACTGACAGAGGCGAGGCTGCCGGACACTGGCGCCACCGGGCCCTCTGACCACCACCAGTAGGCAACGGGTGAAGTATCTTGCCCAAGGACACAACAACCGAGACTGTCCAAGCCGGGGCTCGAACCGGCAACCTTCCGATTACAAGGCGAACTCCCAACTCTTGAGCCACGATCGCCCCATTTAATGTGAATTTTAATGTGAAATTTAATGTGAAAGAACAATAAATTGAAGAGGTCAAACAAATGTAGTGGATCAACAAGTCCAACATTTCCAAGTAAAAGTTAGTGAAGTATACGGTTGAATAAAACTAACATTTTCCGAATTATTAAGGTGCAGCTGGTTAACTCTTTTATGCAAGATGCCTTGTGAAATGCCAAGACTGCCCAAATCTTATATAAATAATATTGCTTGAAATCCATCAAAAACACAATTTAAGTAAAACGTGTATTTAAGTCTAAAATGTGATATAGATTACTATTTGTTTGAACTTGTGTTGCATTTCTTTGCCTTTGTATTCATTCCCCTATTGATAACGTTCCAATTTTTCAGTTTTATCCATTGCAAAGTTATTAGTTTAAGTATGCATTCGTGTGTTTGTGATTATCTTCAGATATGTTAGGACAGCCATTTCAATTGTGGATCTGACAACAATGGATTAATATTTAAAAATTTGACTTCACAACACACTTTGACAGCCTGCCCTCTGAACACGAAAACAGAAACACATAATGAAATGTAGAAAGAAAATATTGAAATAAACCAACTTCTAGATAGGATGACACATACAAAGAAAAATAATACTTAAATACGTATGAACAAAGAAATTTAAACAGATAGTAATTTAAAAGACATAATTGAAAGTGGTATGAGGTTGTATCATGCCTGATAATTTATTTATCTGTATACATATAAATATTATTTCCATACAGTCTTTGTTTTCCTTGTCAAATGATATGAGGGGATAAATGGAAAGTAGCAGGTGGAATTTAAATGCCCTGAAATCAGGAGCTGCTACAGGACCTGGAGATTTTCAGCTTGTGACTAAATCTGCTGATTTGGCGCTTTTATGCTAAATGATTTGCATAAATGGCACGCTTATAGAGATTTTTCATCCTCTTATATGTTATCTAAAGACTCATGGCCCAAAGCTTAATGCAATTATCTAGTAGCTCCAGTATTAACTGAGTGATTAAGATAAAAAATGACTACAAAATTTCCAAAAACGTCTTTATTCAAGAGCATTTGCAGACATTATGAAAAGGAATTAAATATACAAGTTGATTTCTTTGCTACATACAATACTACAATTCTTGATGTTACCATAGGGTATATTTATATGCTTTTTTCCCCTTTACATAGTGTACCCAGGGAGTTTGCTGGCCACTAGCTCAGAGATATGCTGATACTCTTTCCTGAAATCCAGAGATCCCAGTTCATCCTCCAGTTCCTCTACCTCCTGGGGTTCAACGGAGGACACAGAGTCTGCAGACAATCCTCGACTGGGGATGCTGTGGTTGGCTAACACGCTCGTCTGACCTCTCGATGACATCAAACTCTCAGTGCAGGGAGTCATTTCCACTCTGCCACTCGCTGACATCTGCTTTCTACTTTGCAGGGAGGCTGACCTGTCTCTGTCACACTCATCAGATGAACAGCTGAGGGCAGAGGTTTGGGTACGAGGTCGGATGATGTGTGTACCCCTCAGAGTATGCTTTGGAGAGCTGGGGGCTTTGATGGGCACAGGAAGGGGGACTGATCTTCTCTGGACGCTGTCGGATTCCGAATCAGAGTTCCAAAAGCGAACTGGAGACTTTGGAGTCTTTGCTCTGGAGGGCTCGGGGCTGCTCAAAGGGTCAGGAGAGTAGGCATCACTGGGCTCGAGACTGTTAAAGTCATCAACATAGTCTGCTTCCTCATTTCCAGCCCAGCTGGAGTCTGAAAATGAAGACTTTGAGCTGCTGCGTCTGCGGCTTCTTGAAGATTCAATTTTATCTCCGCGCCTGTCAGATTCAGACTGTGATTGATCTGATTCGCTGTGATGCTTGCTCTTGTCTTTGCTTTGGGGAACACTGTCAGTATCCACGCTGGGGATGTGAATACATTTCGAGAGTCTTTCAGAAAGAAGAGCCTTTTCTGAAGTTGTCGGAGAGCCTCTGCATTGTTTACCCTCGACTTTCACATGCTGTTTTTTCTGTTTTAGTGTGACTGTTTCCTGTAGCGCAGAATCCCGGCTGATGCTCTGCATCACCGTCTCAATATTTTCATTAAAATCAGAGCTCCTCTTTATTACTGACTTCCTTTTTCCAGACTTAATGGTTTTATGACCTAACCCAGTCTTTTCGTTTACTTGTGTTTTATTGTGTTTTAACTCCTCACATTCACGACGGTTTACTCTGAGAGGAGAAATCTGCTTCAGCCTTAGATTAAACGTTTTAGTTGTTCCACACACAAGCTTCTTCCTGGGTGATTTACATGAGCTTTTGTTCTCAAGCAACATATTTTCTTTTATGTCCTTTAGTTTTACAGAATCAGGTCTAACTATATGTGTGGAAACATTTCTGGAGGAATGAAAGCTTCTCAGATGAGGAAAAGTTTCCTGTTTGGTTTTCTTCAGGGATTTGGTTTGTGCCTTCTGTGGTGTGTTTTTAGCTGAGAGCTCTGCAGAAGCAGGCCTGTATATCCAAGCGAGACTGGGGTGAACAGTCAAGGGCTGGTTGCTGTTTAGCTGTGACAGTTCGACGAGCAGAGCGTTTAGCAAAGGCATCCGCTGTAAGGCTTCCCCGAGGACATTTGGAGGCATTGTGCTTGTTTCTTGGTTTCTTATTTTCGCATCATGTCTCACTTCTGAATGCATCGCTGGAGAACTTGGACTTTCCACTTCCTTTTCATCCACTTCTTCCTCTGAACATGAATCTTCAAAAACAGGAGCTTCTGAATCCAGAGTCCATGATTTGTAATCACCTTGTTCATTTACTCCTTTTTCCTCTGCAGAATAGTAAAGATGTGGGGGACAGAATACAGTTAAATCCTCCTCAGAATCATTTTCAGCTTCGTCTTGTGGTCTGTGTTCAGTACCATCAAACACGTCATCGTCTTCCTCCTCCTTTCTATCTTTACTTATCAAAACTTCTGCATTTACCTCCCCTTTGCTTTGGGCTTTTCCGCTACACTGTGGGGTTGGTGAGCAGACATTTCCAGAGTCAGGAGGCTGCGATGTAGACTTGTTTGTCTCCTTGACATGTTCTTGTCCCTGCTGCCCTCCAGGCACTCTCTCCCTCTCTGTGATGTGTGGCAGCAGACTCGCTCCTAGACATAACAGTTTATAACTCAGGGACATTGCTCCGACTTTCTCCCCCGCGAGGTTGCATATAGAGACAACAAGCCCCCTTTCTATGTGATAGGAGGGACTAGAAACCCCCCGTTCAGTCACATCCTGCCTGATTCTGTCCATCGCTTTAGCCAGTGATATCATACAGGAGCCGACTAACTTGGGACTCTCCTCTGTAACATCCAGCACCATACCATACAGCGGGGTGTTGGACAGCTGTACGTGCAGTGAGTTTAAGTCCATTTTGAAGAAACAACACTTTCCTCTGTTAAAGGCGAACATTCCAGGTTTCTCCTTTTCATTGTGCCCGGGGTTGTTACTGCTCCCGCTGATCTGCTGCTGTTGCTGCTGTGACTGATAAATTAGCAGCGTCGGAAAGTTCAGGAGTGTGACTCCCAGAGCCAACTCGTTAAGGATTTTACAATTTTTCTCTACTCGAATGTATTCCACTAAAAGCTCCAATGAAAACAGAGTCTCCGGATTATCGCTGTTTAGTTGTCCCGACATCCCGAAAGCTGTTTGGCCACAGAGAACCAAAGGGCTAACTATCAAGATGTCAGATAATCTGCTAACAAGCGGTTTTAGCTTCCATCGGCTTCCATGGAAACAGCTGTCGCAAGGGTTTTACGTCAGAGCGCGAGATTTGTGGGAAATGATGTTTCTCTACATACGGACTTAATTAATTACCCAGTCGACAATTTCGGGGGAGGTGTTTTTTTTGCGCGTTTTATTTATTTTTTAATAAAATAGCTATTACTTAAATTTGGAGCGCTTGTTCACAAGTTTAAATCGAGAAGCATAGAAAGCACAAAAACCGATAGACACGGAAAGAAAAGCGATATTCAGGTAGTTCGAGGGAGTAACTTTCCTGCAGTTCACCAGATGGTGCCACTGTGGGGCTTATTGGACTTATACCCTAAAATAAACTCGTGGCAAATAGCAAGAAAGCCACCAGACTTAGTTTGCAGGACAGTTTCATTAGACGCCTTTAGGTTCGTGTGGGGGGTTAGGGTTTATCTGGTAGTCTTCCTTCAATATTAACCTACAAACCTATATGTATAGGTCATCACAGGGGAGCGGAATAGCGGTGGGCGGAGCCTCGCTGCGTGTCGTCATCACGCAGAAAGGTGCTGGATGGGTATCGCTATGGTCCGTGCTACTTCAGTCTGCCGGAGACTGAAAGGGGGAGATGTGAGAGCGACTACGGCAGCTTCAGCTGGTTTTACCTTTTACGGATAACTAACGCCGTTAACAACCGGGACAGGACACCGGCTCGGATTTGAAGGTAAGGCTTGCACGCCCTTTTTCGTTCTACCTCTG